TTTACTTCTAATAGGGCCCATATACATTTGTATAGTAGTGTTATCTTCAAGTTAATCTTACCTTTTGTTTATTTACATATCATTAAATTTATAATAAAAAACATGTAAAAAATTTGTTTTTTCAAAATAAAATAACGTTTATGGTAGTAAAGACCCCTAGATAATGGATGGGTCTAGTTCAACCTCCATATTTTTAAGACCTATTATTATGAAAGTGACTATGATTTCTGAATCGAGAAATATTAGATAAGAATTGAGAAAAGATGTTTATTTTATCCAATTTGGAAACTTATAAAAATGTATACAATGTTTGCTAAGGGATTAAAGGTAACTGTTATAAAAACATTGTAGTAAAAAGAAATAAAATTAGCAGTTATGATGTTGTTGCATTTATCTTTAGTGAATAATTGAAGTTGCTGTGATGACATATTATTTCATGAAACTTATTCAGCATTATGTTTTCATGTTTTCAACTGTTTATTAGCAAATTTCAGATTATTGAACTTTTAAAGTTTGGAAGCCTTTTAATAAATATGAATCTCTAAAAGTTGTAATTTAGCATAATTACCCTCAGGATTATAAGATTTATTCATGGCAGTGAGACAGAAAATATGTTTATGTAGGTTTGAAATCCTGAAGTGTTGAAGTTAAAACATAGAAATCTGTGTACTCTATAGGTACAAATTGCATATTTTCTCAGGCACTGGGTATCAAATTAAGGAGAAGTGGTTTTTGTCATTAAGACAAAATAGTAACTTGAGATAAATAAACAGATGCTTACTATGTAAGCTAATATTGAGGAAATGTAAAGGAGAAGTACCATTTGCAGGATGGGAGACAGTGGGAATGGGTTGTCAGGTAGGGAAAGAGTGTCAGGGATGGCAACTTGGAAGGGGCAATGTTTTGGAAGTGGTTCACATATAGTTTGATTTAAATTCAAATTCATATGGAGAAAAGGGAACTCTTGCACACTGTTGGTGGGGATGTAAATTAGCACAGCCTCTGTGGAACACAGTATGGAGGTTCCTCCAAAACTAAAGTAGGAGGCTTTTGCCATGTTGGAGTTACAGGAAGGGCATCCCAAGCTGGTGGACCTAAATCTCCAAAGGTCTTGAAGGTGAAAGTGATCAGAAAATGTCAGTCATGACCAAGTGCAGTGGCTCATGCCTGGGCTCCCAACACTTTGGGACACCGAGGCAGGAGGATTGTTTGAGGCCAGGAGTTTGAGATCAGCCTGTGCAACATAGCAAGACTCTGTCTCTATGAAACTTTTTTTAAAAGTTAATTGGGCATGATGCTGTATGCCTGTAGTCCCAGCTACTTGGGAGGCTGAGGTAGAAGGATAGCTTGAGCACATGAATTTGAGGCTGCAGTTAGCTATGTTCTCTCCACTGCATTCTAGCCTGGGTGACAGAGCAAGACCTTGTCTCCAAAAACAAAACAAAACAAAACAAAAAACAAAGAAAGAAAGAAAAGGAAAAGGAAAGAAAGATAAGAAAATGACAGTCATCAGTGTAAATGGATCATGAAGTGTGAGGAGAAGAGCAATGAATCTGGAAATGTAGACAGCATCCAAGCCTTAAAGAGCTTTCCTAAAGAATATGGATAATCCTGATCTATAGTCTATTTTCTCCTTATTTAGCTGGGAAGCTCTCAAGGGAAATATGAGTTCATGTTAAAAATAAAAGACATGTGAAGGATATTTATCTCTAGTAGATTTGTATCTACTCCAGGTTATTCAATAATGTGCAGATACCTTTTGGTATCTATGATGTTTTTACTTAAAGAAATTAGGACAAACATATCACTGACCTTAATAGATTATTTGTGCCCAGTGGAAGTCTGGTGGTTTTCATTAAGTATTTAAGAGCAAGAGTGATTATAAAATTGTTTAAAATTTTTTTTTTTCGTTAGTTAGATCCTTTGAATACTTGCTAAAGAGATATGGGACTGACTCTTTTACTTTTAATGCTGCTCCAAATGCAGAAAATACTTCAAAAATGGCCAATAAATATTTAATATACATAAATTTTGAGTATTTCAGTAATGATGGTTGATATCTTGACATTCAGGCATTGAAGGCTATAGGTTCACAACCAGCTGCAAATCATTATGGTTGATTATGTTCTAATTAGAGAAAAATTCTTCAATAGGTATTGAATGGAAATAAATGTTGTATGTAAGTGAAAAAAATCATGGCTGTGAATGATGTTAGTTGAAACATTTTAAAGAATATAGTCATGAAAACATGTATTATTCATTGTATACACTTTGGAAAATCTAAGCTGTGAGGAAAATCACACATTTTTATTTGTGAACAATTTTAAGAGCTAAAATGTATGTTTATGTTTTAGGTTTTCTTCAAGCAAAGCCTTACAAGAATACTGAAATGTTTTGGGAGTGGTTCACATATAGTTTGATTTAAATTCAAATTCATATGGAGAAAAGGGAATTCTTGCACACTGTTGGTGGGGATGTAAATTAGCACAGCCACTATGGAAAACAGTATGGAGGTTCCTCCAAAACTAAAGATAGAACTATCATATGATCCAGCAATCCTACTTCTGGGTATATAGCCAAACAATTGAAATCAGTATGTCAAAGAGATATCTGTACTCCTATGCTTATTGCATCATTATTCATGATAGCCAAGATATACAACAAACCTAAGTGTACATCTGTGGAGGAATGGATTAAGAAAATGTGGTTTATATATATAATGAAATACTATTCAGCCTAAAAAAGAAATTCTGTCACATGTCACAACATGGATAAACCTGGAGGACATTATGCTCAATGAAATAACCTAGACACAGACAGACAAATATTGCATGATCTCCCTTATATATGGAATCTAAATCATTAAACTCATAGAAGTAGAAAGTAGAATGGTTACCAGAGACCGGGATGTTAAGACCGGGGGCTGGGGTGTTGGGGCCAGGGGAATGGGGAAATAATGTTCAGAGGGTACAGAGTTTCAGTTAGACAGGAGAAATAAGTTTTAGAGATTGATTACACAGCATGGTGACTATAGTTAACAATAATGTACTGCATATTTCAAAATGGATAAAGGAGTACATTTTAAATGCTGTCACTACAAAAAATGGTATGTATATGAGGTGATAGGTATGTTAATTTGCTTAATTATTTTATAATATAAACACATATCAAAAATCACATTATACCTCATAAGTATATACAATTGTCATCTGTGAATTAAAAATAAAATCAAGTTTTAAAATTAAAGTCATTGACTGTAGTGAAAAATCATCCACTAAAAATCTTATAATACAAATATGTCAGATTTTATGTTGTTTGGAGAAAAATATTAAATAGTTATGAATGAATATCTAAAAGCAAATATTCATCATTTTTGTCACATACTTGTTCAAGGAAATGAAAGTATTTTACTTGATCAATTCTCATATTTACAAGGATGACAAAATAGAGGATTTTAAATTTTGTATAGTATTAATTTTTAGTCAGGTAGTTTTGGTTGTAAAAACTAAGAAAATGAAACAGAGTCTGATTCAATTTACAAAGGGAGAGGGTGCATTACAGTTGAAGGATTAAACAAAACTCATAAATAAAATAGCATCCAAATCAGGTACAGTTTAAAAATCAGTGAAAAATGGTGGTCACTAGAATAACAATATTTGCTGTACAAGTTTGAATCCCTGATGTAGAAACATAGCAGGGCCTTCATTCAGCAGTAGGAGTTCATGACTAATTAGTGAATGTAATATGTACCATGCTGATTATAAGCTTACCCCGTAGTTAGATAAGGCTTGGTTTTTTATTCCTGTTTTGCCAGGTGTTGGCTGAATGACATTACACAAGTTGCTTTTCTGTTGTAAAATGTTCATAGTCTTATTACCTATTTCTAGAAATACAAGGTGTGAAAGAGATAATCTGTTGGGAAGTACCTGGTACCTCGAAGTTGATGAGTTGTAGCTGCCACCTCTCCTCACCCTTGTCCTTCTCCTCCTTTATCTTCTCCATTGATACCCTGAATATACTGACATTAATATGGTTCATAAATTTTCTATGCTTCTGATTCTCTCAGTATGTATTGTCACTTCTCTCAACGTTACCAACTGTCTTAGTTTTTATTCAAGCATTTTCTTCAAGTGACACCTGTGGTTCTCTCATAAGTTTAACTTGTTTGTAACCCTACGTTATATCCTTGTGATTTAGTTTCTTCTTCCAATGGCCTGCTTATCTCTCAGCTTCCCAAATCAAACTTGTGGTGGGGTCGGGGGAAGGGGGAGGGATGGCAATAAGAGAAATACCTATTGTAAATGACGAGTTAATGGGTGCAGCACACCCACATGGCACATGAATACATATGTAACAAACCTGCATGTTGTGCACATATACCCTAGAACTTAAAGTATAATTTAAAAAAGAGAGAGAGAAAAAAAAAGAGAAAAAAAGTCTATAGCAATTGGTTTTTCTTTGAGTGCTGATTGTGGTGTCAGGCTATACCATTGTCTTGTTTATGATTCTGTTGAGCTCCCATCAGGAACTTGTTGAATCATGTGGTATAAAATGAAAATACTTCTAGTGGTCTCTGACAAGACTCATGGTGGTGCATTTACCCAGACAGAAATTATTATGTCTGTCACGTGCCTACTGCATCTAAAAAAAACATAAAAAGTTAAGAATAAACAGTTTACTAAAATTATGGAACAGCTATAAGTAGTAAGTCTGGGTCTTAAATACCTGGTGTCTCCAAAGCCAACACTCTTGAATAAACTTTAAATATTTTTGTTAATCTTAAAATGTTTGCATCACTATAAAATATCAGTACAAGTTATTGGATCATTTTTACTACTTATAAATTCAAAAACGTTTATTAGGTATCAGATTTTTGTTATTGATTGTTTTAGTATAAACCAAATTCTATTTCGTGTCTTGAAAAACAGTATTTTGTTTTAAAATGTATTATTTGTACTTGAATTCTATTGACTTGTTCTTTTTGTTTTAACCTTTCTCAGGCTGCTAAGTTGGCTTTCACAGTGCAAGCCTTGGAGTCCCAATGGGGGACTCAGGATCAAGACGATCTACCCTGGTCTCCCGGTTGCCAATATTCAGAAGAAGTATTAGCAGAAGACATGATTCTCTTCCTTCTTCACCTTCTTCCAGTAATACAGTTGGTGTCCACAGTTCCTCTCCTTCCAGCACTAACTCAAGCTCAGGTAGCACAGGTAAACGGAGGAGCATATTCCGTACTCCTTCCATTAGCTTCCACCATAAGAAGGGGAGTGAGCCTAAGCAAGAACCTACCAACCAGAACCTTAGTATTTCAAATGGTGCTCAACCTGGTCACAGCAATATGCAGAAACTGAGTTTGGAAGAACATATTAAGACCAGGGGAAGACATTCTGTTGGTTTTAGTAGTTCACGAAATAAGAAGATAACAAGATCTTTGACAGAGGACTTTGAAAGGGAAAAAGAGCACTCAACTAACAAGAATGTCTTTATAAATTGTCTAAGTTCCGGCAAAAGTGAAGGAGATGATTCTGGTTTCACAGAAGACCAAACTCGCCGTTCTGTTAAGCAGTCAACAAGGAAGCTACTCCCTAAATCTTTTTCATCGCATTATAAATTTTCTAAGCCAGTTCTACAGAGCCAATCTATTTCACTGGTACAGCAGTCTGAATTCTCATTGGAAGTTACACAGTACCAAGAGAGAGAACCTGTGTTAGTAAGAGCTTCACCATCCTGCTCTGTGGATGTAACGGAACGGGCAGGAAGCTCTTTACAATCTCCTTTGCTTTCTGCTGATCTTACCACAGCTCAGACACCTTCAGAATTTTTAGCCTTGACTGAAGATTCTGTGTCTGAAACGGATGCATTTTCTAAAAGTGGAAGCATGGCATCCCACTGTGACAACTTTGGCCACAATGATTCTACCTCTCAGATGTCTCTCAATCCTGCTGCTGTTACAAAGACAACAATAGAACTTATGGGAACTGTCCCCTGTGCAATTATGTCTCCCGGGAAATATAGGTTAGAGGGTCAATGTAGCACTGAATCTAATTCCTTACCAGAAACCTCTGCTGCTAATCAGAAGGAAGTGTTATTACAAATTGCTGAACTATCTGCTACAAGTGTGAGACACTCAGAGAGTAACCTACCAGCACATACTGAAAGAGAAGAAAATATAGGGTTACAAAATAGTGAAACAAGGTTGGGGACAGACTCCCCAAGGAAACTTGGATTTTATGAGCAACATAAAGCAATAGCTGAACATGTTAAAGGGATCCATCCTATTTCAGATTCAAAGATAATACCTACTTCTGGTGATCATCATATTTTTAACAAAATGTCATATGGATATGAAGCAAATCCTGCCAAAGGTATGCTGATTTTCTTTGTGTAACAAATGATATGAATTGATTTTCATTATACTTTATTCAGTTTTCTTATTCCATCTCATAAATGGAAACCACATTTTTCTTGTTTTTCACTTTCAAAATGGTTTCCTATTTATAATTTGTGTTAAATGTTTCCCCTGCTTGATTTTAAACTTACATCAATTGTATTATGCTGAAAATGTAATTCAGCAATATTATTCATTTTTTCTTGGTTATGTTATCCATAACTAAGAAGCAGCCTCTTAGTTATAGTGCTTATTGGAGCACCTTCAGAAGAAAGTGAAAGGAAACTAATTCTGTTTGCAATGTGGATTTCTCCAAAGTAAGGACTGTCTTTTATAGAGTTTGTTATAGAGGCATTGGTATTTCTTATTTAGTGAAATTGATATATTCCAGCTAAAATCACTATAAAATTTGTATAATTTAACATTATTTCCTTTGTTAACTAAGCTTTCATTATTAAATAGGATCTGTGTTTCAATATAAATAATTCCTATCTCTAGATACAAAAACAGAATTGTAAGCTTAAAAATAACCTATCTTTGGAAGCTGGAGACAGGTTTCAACTCTACCTCTGACATTAACTCTGCAATTTTGGACACCTTCTCTTTAGTTTAAAAAAAGTGGTAGTATATATGAATTACTCTAATATGGCTACAGAAAATTTTGTTTTTTTAACATGAAATTCAGTTCAAGATAATTATTGAAAAATACCACTGCTGGGCTGTCTTAGACATATTTTAATTCCTTTTTCTCTGCTATCATTAATGCTACTACTACTACTACTACTAATTTCCCCAAATTTGGAGGTGATTATGTCCTAGATATTACTTTATATACATTAATTAAAATGATTGAAATTGCTACTATTATTATAAGCTATTTTGCAGGCAAGAAAATGGGAGCAAAGGTAAATTGTGTGTCGGCAATCACAAAACTAGTAATTCATTTATTGGGATACAAATCCTATGAGGTAGGCTCCTATGTTTCCCATTTTACAAATGTGAGAACAGGGGCTAAAGAATCATACAGCTGGTAAGTAGTGCAGTCAAATTACAACTCTGAATCCAAAGCTCTGGCTCTCCATAACTCTGCTTTACTACATGTCATGACTTAAAATATGAAATAAAATTTATATAACATAATGTCACAAGTAATAGGATTATATAGTTCATCCATAAACATGAAATTTTAAAGTTTTAAATACAAGACTTAATTTTCCAGCTGTCTTAATACTTTTCCCATTTGATACAAGATCACTTTTATGCACCTGACCATGTTTTGTCCATTTTTTGAACTTTGTATTCTTGTCTGTGGTCTTGGCTTTAGTCATATATGCGTAGCTTCTTTTCCTGTAATACAATCATGAGAATATGATAATGATGATGATATTAATGATGGTTACCCTTTTGTACAATTAATATGTGCCCAAAAATGTACTAAGAAAATTGAATGCACTATTTTATATAGTCCTTATAAAAATTTTGCATGTCATATTAATAACTAAGATTTATAATAAGCTAAATAACTGTATAGGGTCACATTGTTAGCAAATGATGGACTTGATACTGAAAGTCAGGAAGTTTTTAAATTATATCAAAAAGGGATAGAAATGTAATTATCCTGACATATCTAATTCTTAGTAGTGATGACTTTCCTCAAAGCCTAATTGAATACTGTGTATGTTTCTCTCTCTGGAAATTAAAGAATGACCAATTATCTTGGAGACTATTAATATGTTGATTCAGATCCTAATTGTAACAGAATAACACATTAATTTTGCTGATTTGATAATGTGTTGGCTATTCTTGAATAAATAAGCTGGTAATGTCAACAAGGACAGTATACTATCCTTTAGTTTGTGAAAATATTTGTGTTCTATTTATAAGGATTTTATAATTTTGAAGTTTAAAGTTTTAAAAACAGCTAAGTAAATGCATTTTATCCAATAAACATTTGCTGTAGACACTAACCTTCATAATGCTAAATTTAGTTTGTATTTTGTATGAAACATTTAAGCCAGTACTTGATACACATCTAAGTGTATTAGGTGTACAATCATATCAGAACTAACAATAAAATGTTGAGTTATCTGACAATTTAACTTGTATTCATTGGCTTAAAAAGTTATTTTAAAAGAACTGCTATGTATTGGACTAATAGATTCTGGACAGTCTTTAAACTAGTAGATGAGACTAATTAGAGCAATTTATTCATTAACTCATTCATTCATTCAGCAAATATTTATGGTTTTAACACTATATTGGGCAGTAGGTATGTAGCAGTACACAAAATAGGCCTAGATCCCTGCCTTCCTGAGGCTTACTTTCTACCGGGGATACTCAGTTAATATGCTATTTATATCAGATGGTGATAACTGCTGAGGGTAAGTTTAAAGCAGAATAAAGGCTTAGGAAGCAGAGGTGGGATTGCAGTTTGCATTTTTAAATGTGAGTGGGATGATACCCAAGGTAACATATTGGTAAAGGTTTGAAGGAACTTAAAGAATATGTCATATAGATATTTGAGAGAAATATATTAGTGCAAGGTTGTGGGTCAAAGGCTATGTGGGGCTGGAGCATGCTGGTGATGTACCAGAGCAGCAGCTGTCCAGTGTAGCAGGAGCAGAGTGATGGAGGGGAGAGCAGGACATGAGGTTACAGAGGTGAGCAGGTGAACAGGGTGCCCCTCCTGTCCCTGGTTTGTGGACAGAAAGAGCAGTCATATAGGTCGTATTATGAAGAATATGTTATGCCATTTGGAAAACATCACCTTTTATCTAGAAGAGTGGTGGTGATGGCTCTCATTTATGTTTTAAGTATATGATTCTGGCTACCATGTGGAATGTAGTTTGTGTTGGGGGTGGAGAGGCAGATGGGAGTAGGCAGAGGCAGGAGAATTGTAGCAAATATTGCAGTAACCAAACAAGCATAGATTGGATTTGGTCCAGGGTCTTAGAAAGAGAGGTAGAAGGAATCAGATTCTGTATACAGTTTGAAGGAAATAAGGACAGGGTTTGTTTATGTGATTAATGTGAGCTATGAAGCAACCAAGGATGACTCCAAAAGTTTTGGGCTTCAAAGAGATAACATGATTAAGTGAACTAAACTGATGCTATATATGTAAAAGTTTTCTCATGATAGAGAAGCTTTGAATAACACTAAGAGTTTTCCGCGATCTCTCAGTGGGACATTTGTAAAGAGTACATTTAAATATTTACGTTCATTTTTATTTATTTTCCTTTCCATAGTTCTTGCCAGTAGTCTCAGTCCATTTCGTGAAGGAAGATTTATAGAGAGGAGACTGCGATCCTCGTCAGAAGGCACTGCAGGGAGTAGCAGAATGATTTTGAAACCAAAAGATGGAAATATAGAAGAAGTTAATAGTTTAAGAAAGCAAAGAGCAGGTTCTTCATCTTCAAAAATGAACAGTTTGGTAAGTATATACATACGTCTGTCTCTAATAGAATAATACTGTCTGTATCTGGTATGTTCATGCCTCTTGCAGAATGAACACAAACTACAGGATAAACACCTCATATTTGAAGGGAAAATTTGTTTCCATAGTTGACGTTACAAGTCAGAGAAACAAATTTTTCATCTAGGTCAGGATGGAGTTCACCATGACAGCTGTCTTTAGTTCCTGTCTTCCTTGCTTCCATGGAAAGTTTGACATTCTTTATTCTAGAACAAGACCCTTGAATACAGAAACTAGGAAAAATGCTGAACATGAGGATCTCCTTTGACACCATTATTTCGCATCCTCTCTCCACCATATAGCCCTCTAGAAAATACCCTTTTGTAAATCACACTGACTCTGGTACCACTCTTAGTCCCTAGTAGACCCTAACCTCACTGTTCTCCTGCAGTGCCCTTCCACAAAGGGTGAGGAGTTGGTGTGAAGCTTATGAGGACCAATGTGAAATGCCCATCCAATGCTTGCATACATTGGAGGTAATCAAGATGCCCTATTCCTGGTCCAAATTGTAGAACCTGCTTTTAGTATGTGGATGGAGGTGGGGTGTATAGGGAGAGGCATGGTCTGAGTTTTTATGTGTGAACTAGGGTGTCACAGAGGCGTTAGTATGAAGCTCCCTCATAGTATGAGACAGACTCAGGGATGGGAAGAGATGAGGGGTGAACTGCAGCTTTGGGTCCATGTGGCCTCAGGTTTCACAAGTATTAGAGTGTGATTGCCTTTTGGAGATCACTTTGCTCACCTTCACACAGATGTGTCCTTTTTCAGCAGAGTATTTAACATCTATTGTCCAAAATATTCCTTTAAAATAATCTTTCTACCTACCTATCCATGTATATATGTGAAAAATGCTCAAAAATTAATCACTTATGATATGTCTATTATTTTATGTAATTGGGTTTCAAATGAAAATATTAGGTAATTGAGATCTGATAATTATTTTGTGAAGAAGCCTTAAGTTAGTAAGGTAACATTGTGTGATAGCAAAATCACTGTGCTTGATGTTAGAGGTTTTAATCATTTTTTTCTGGTGTGGTCATTTCTTAATCCTGGGCAAATTTGTAACCACAAAATAGCAAATGATAATAGGCATCTTGTTTCCATTACACTAAAAAATGACTATGTGAGTGTTTACATTTTTACATATGGAAATACATATTTCATGCTTCATTTTGTTCTTTTGTGCATTGGCTATTGTATTATTATTGTTGCAATGGATATTTTTGATCTAAGTATGAAAATTTGTTAAAAAAGATTTCCAGTTGATGCACCATTAAAAGTTAGGACTAATGAAGTATTACAAAACATTTATCATCACAACATTTTCACTATTTCTTCATGGAGAGGTATTTATATTAATAGGGGTATACTATTCAACTTTGAAAGTTGTGCCTTTTACATATTCTCTCATATCTCATGTGTTTTTCATACTGCATTTAATTTAAATAATTCTAGTTTGAGACCAGCCTAGGCAAAGTATCGAGAACTCGTCTCTAAAAAAAAATTTAATAATTAGCTAGAAGTGGTGGCTTACACCTGTAGTCCCAGCTACTCAGAAGGCTGATGTGGGAGGATCACTTGGGTCCAGGAGTTGGAGGCTGCAGTGAGTTATTGCGACCCCGCACTTCAGCCTGGGCAACAGAGTGAGACCTGGTCTCAATAAAATAAATACATACATACATACATACATAAATAAAATGTAAAAAGTGTTTATAATATCACAAAGTCACTCTTCTCAGGTTTAGGATTTTTTTTTTTTTTTTTTTTTTTTTTGGAGACAGAGTCGTGCTCTGTCGCCCAGGCTGGAGTGCACTGGCGCAATCTTGGTTCACTGCAACCTCCACCTCCCAGGTTCAAGCAATTCTCCTGCCTCAGCCTCCTGAGTAGCTGGGATTACAGGCACCCGCCACCACGCCTGGCTAATTTTTGTATTTTTAGTAGAGATGGGGTTTCATCATGTTGGCCAGGCTGGTTTTGAACTCCTGACCTCAAGTGATCCACCCGCCTCAGCCTCCCAGAGTGCTGGGATTACAAGCGTGGGCCACCGCGCCCAGCCCTCAGATCCACTTTTAAGATTTAAAACTTAAGAAACAAAAGAAGTGGTTTTGTTTGAGGGCCTTATATTTAAGTTTTTAAAAGTGTGCCTGTAGTAGTATAGTTTTTCCACTAGATGGCAGGAAGACACCACTGCCATGGTGGTGGACAGTCGGGGTTGGAACAAAAACTTAAAATATTGTACATGTTCATTGGATTTACAGATGAAAATTACTGAATTAAATACTGAAACTTTTGAAATTCCTAAAGAGAACTACCAAAAACTACTTCATGATCTTACCATCTTCCTTTGGATTTCACAAGTTATGTCTCATCTTTCAGTTACTTTACAGTTTATTCATTTTTTAATTTTCATTTTTAGTTTTTTAAGGCAGAGCCTCGCTCTGTCACCCAGGCTGGAGTGCAGTGGTGTAAGCTTGGCTCACTGCAACCTCCCCTCCCTGGTTCAAGTGATTCTTGTGACTCAGCCTCCTCAGTAGCTAGGACCACAAGTGTGTGCTACCATGCCAGGCTAATCTTTGTATTTTTAGTAGAGATGTGGTTTCACCATGTTGGCCTGATTGGTCTTGAACTCCTGACCTCAGGTGATCCACTGACATCGCCTCCCAAAGTGCTGGGATTATAGGTGTGAGCCACCACGCCTGGCCAGTTGCTTTACACTTAATTAATTTAAAACGCATGAAATATGTTTTTTACTTGTAGCACTGTAAGGAAGAAATGGTAGGGATTATTTAGTTCTAGATACATGTGAAACAAGTGACATATATTTGGAAAATTGTAGCTCTATGTGTGAAAAGTGACACATTTCTATATTCCTCTTCCAAAATTAAGCAACTGCATGTATTTAAGAATGCATCCATGGTTCAGTTATTTTATTTTAAAGCAAATATAATAGAAACATATGTTTTTAATGCTTGTTTGAACCAAGGGACTACTTTTAATGCCTGACACGTCTTATCACATCCAGTCCTCACAATAGTACTATAAATTAAATGATACTGTAGTGATGAAATTTTGCAAAAGAGGAAAATAAGGCACTGAGAAGATAAGCGGCTTGCCTAAAATGACACAGCTCATAAATGGCAGAGATAGGATCTGGATTTGATCCTTTCTAAGTTCAAATCCTACAATCTTTTGGGAAAATGTATTAGATTTAAAATTAATTTGAGCCATTTTTCAATTGTTTGCATCAATTTGGTGTAATAAAATTAAAACATTTAAAGCAGTCTAACCTTGCTTGCTCTAAGTCTAGGCTGCAGCATTCTATAAGAGATACAAAAGAGGAAAACAAAAACAATATTTAGTGCTTAATCTGAACTTAAAATGCGGTCATGTTTCTTGAAATGCTCATGAATAGTATCTATGTCCTTACTGAGAGATATCCCATCAAAAAGGAACTTTGTCACAAAAGAGGATATTCATACTTGGGAGTTTTGTAATACTTCATGAGTCCTAATTTTTAATGTTAGCATTAATGCAGACCTTCATGTAGTTCATGGAGATTTCAATTTTTGTAATAAAATATGGCTCTATTTATTAAGATGCTGAGCATTTCCTGAATGACCAAAGATATTACCTAATGGATTAGATATAGTTAGATATACCACGGTTCTATTGTTTTTATGTATTTCTAGGGTATTTCAGTCTGGAAGGGAAAGGACAGAATGTATGAACTCTTCAAACATCAAATGCCGAGAGCAAATTGGGATTTGCTTAGGTTTATTAAAAGAAATCAAAGTAAATTTGGAACAATTTGATAAGTGTTCACATTTATTATATTTTTTCAAACCACTTTATAGTATTTTTCCAATTTTTCTCTAATGAGTAACTTTCTGAATACCTTCCTTGGGATTGTCCAAAAAATTTAAAATGCCATTCTAGAAAAAAGTTAAAGTACTTATTTCTTTAAAGAACTTACTTCAGGAACTTTCTCTCCAGATTATGGTATATAAATATATAAATGTAAGGATTTGTCATGGGTTCTCCAACGGCTTTACACAGTGAATTCTAATTCTATATATTTTCAAGATTACTCTCTAGAAAAGTTAATGCGAGAGTAGATTCATATATAATGAACAATACAAAAGACCTGGTACCATTAAAGGAAGGAAAAATGCCTAAGTGGATGAGTCAGGGTAAACTTGGCTAAGTGATAAAAAATACCGCTGGGCGTGGTGGCTCAAGCCTGTAGTCCCAGCACTTTGGGAGGCCGAGGCAGGGGTATCACTTGAGGTCAGGAGTTCGAGACCAGCCTGGCCAAGATGGTGAAACCCTGTCTCTATTTGTATTTTGTAAAAATATAAAAATTAGCTAGCCGTGGTGGTGGGTGACTGTAATCCTAGCTTCTCAGGAGGCTGAGGCAGGAGAATGGCCTGAACCTGGGACTTGGAGATTGCAGTGAGCCAAGATCACACCACTGCACTCCAGCTTGAACGACAAAGTGAGACTCCCTCTCAAAAAAAAAGAGTAAGTAAATAAATAAAATAAATAAAAAATAACTTCCAAATCTAGCAACTCTATATAATATGGATTTCTTTCTCACTTAGGCTACATGGTTATTGTGGAAGGCGGGGTTCTGTTCAGTGTCTCCTCCTGTATTCAGGCTGTTGAAGCAGCTAACTTTGCAAACATTGCCTTTCACCATGGCAAAAAAGAAAGAGATCTCTGGAGGTCCCTGTAATAAAATACTTTGAATTGTGAGAATCACTTTACTTCTGCTCACAACTCATTCGTCAGATCTAATCATATGGCCCAAACTAGAAACAAAAGCAGCCAAGAAGAATAATCACTTTCCTGTATCTAGAGGTGGAGACTCAGGTTTGGTGAGCACTTAATGACTATCATATTCCCAAATATTTTGTTGTATCCAAGTTCTTTTAATTAACCTAGATTTACTGCTTGCC